GCCCCCCCTCCCCGCTGCTCCCCCAGGATTTAAGCCGCTCGGGGAGCCGGGCACAGCCTCCCCGGGCTGCAGGCATCTTGGGGTTTGGAGACGGGCAGGATGCGGGGTCGGGGTGCCGGCCCCTCCTCAGCCCCATACACTACCGCGGGGGGCCCCGTGCCCCCCTCACGCCTGGCCCTGGCTCAGGGGTGAGCAGAGGGATGGGAATGAAGCAGTAAGGGCATCCATCCCCCTCCCTGCTGGCCCCTGGCCGTCTCCCTCCGTCCCGCTCCTTTTACAGCCATGAGCCTCCCAGGCGCCTTTACCCTAAGATGGAAGGACCGTGCGGACCATTCCCCGGCGCTGACGGACCCAGGGCACGTGCTATTGTCTAAATAGGAGATGGTTCTCCTTCCCCACCTGGATCGTGGCCCACCCCATCCCACCGGGGTCCCAGGAGCTGGTGGGTGCCCTGCAGGCTGCAGCCCCCACCCGCTGCTCACCCCAGCTGCCCCCATGCCTTTGCCCACCCCAGGGTTTGGGTCTGGCAGTGTGGGCACGAAGCCCATCTGGCTGCCCACGGTCCCTACCCCTGTGTCACCAGTGGTGGGGATGCTGGGGCTGCTGGCCTGTCTCCAAGTGGCATAGGGATGCTGGGGGTGTCCAGCTACCCAACAGCACACGTGGATGCTGGGGGTGTCCAGCTATCACCCCCCACCACACCTGAATGCTGGGGGGTGTTTGCTTGCCCCTCTGGGTCTGTCTAGGTCCTCGGGATGAGTTGCTGCCACTGTGGTCCATGAGGGTGCTGGGAGTGACCTGTTGCCCCCAGGGCTGTGCAGAAGCTGGAGGAGGCCAGCTACCTCCGTGCCCACGCAGATATTTGAGGCATTTACCTGCCCCCATCAGTCATCTCCAGCTAGCCCTGCTATCTGTGGGGATGCTGGGGCTGTTCACCTGTCCCTGCAGCCCAGGGACAGGTTGGGGATATCCTCTTGCCCTGTGGTCCACAGGGACTTTCACCCACCACTGTGGCCCACAGGGTTGCTGGGGTTGCCCAGCTGCCCTCGAGGCCCACATGGATGCAGGGATGACTGGCCACCCTCGTGGTCCATGAGGTCGCTGGGGTGTCTGTCTTCCCTCCCGCAGGCCGCGATAGCATCACCCATGCCAGTGAGATGAGGTAGCAGCTACCCGCTGCATCACTGGCGGCTCACGTAAGGCACGGCGGCCATTCGCTCAGCCTCCAGCAATGCCCGGGCGGTGATTTCACTTTCCCATGCTCAGGCACGTGGGCTGGGATGGCGGGGGCACTGCCTCGA